GATTATGTTCACAGCTTGGGAGTTCTCATTGATCTGTCTCTCCAAATATCAGCCCAGGGAAATATGACGGTCAAGAGTTACCAGCTTCGGCTGGCCTACCAGCTCTGCTCCTTCCTAGAATTGGAGGACCTAAAATGGTAGTGCACACACTAGTTACCTCAAGGTTGGACTTCTGCGATTCACTTTACATTGGACAGCCTCTGTACCAAGTTCAGAAACTTAAATTAGCTCAAAACACAGCAGCCAGACTAGTTACATGAACATCTAGGAGTGAGCATATCACCCCAATACAACTGACTGCCAATTAGTTTCTGGGCAAAGTAGAAAGTGTAGGGTTTGACCTTTAAAGTCCTACATAGTTTGGTCCAGATTATCTACAGCAGGGGTCTTCAAACTCTTTAAACAGAGGGCCAGGTCACAGTCCCTCAAACTATTGGAGGGCTGGAATATAATTTGAAAAAAAGAAGAATGAATTCCTATGCACATTGCACATATCTTATTTGTAGTGCAAAAGGAAAAACCCACTTAAAAACAATACAATAATTAAAATTCAATTTTAACAAATATAAACTTATTAGTATTTCAGTGGGAAGTGTGGGCCTGCTTTTGGCTGATGAGATAGCATTGTTGTTGTTGTTGTTGTTGTTGTTGTTGTGTGCTTTCAAGTCATTTCATACTTACATTGACCCTGAGCGAGGGCCAGGTTAATTACCTTGGAGGGCCATATCCAGCCCTCGGGCCTTAGTTTGAGGACCCCTGATCTACAGGGTCACCTTCTCCTGCGCCAGACTCTTGAATTGTTTAGAGGTGTCTACTCCAGTCTGCCAGAACCCAGAGGATTTTTTCATCAGCCAACCCAGGACTGTGGAGCTCCAACAGCTAAACAAGCCATTGGAAGACCTCTCTTCCGGTAGGCCTACCCACCCAGTCAATTTTTAACTCTAAATTTTAAACTCATGTCTTGCATTTAATGTATTTGTTCTGTGTATGGTATGTATTTTATAAAAATATGTTTTAATATACATAAACACAATACGTGTTTTTAAATGTATTGTGCCTCACCTGAAGAGAGGTGGGTAAGATTATTATTATTATTATTATTATTATTGGTATATTAGTATGGTGTAGTGTTGGACTAAGACTCTGGAGACCAGGATTCGAATCCCTGCTCAGCTACTGAAACCCATCTGGTGACCTTGGCTAAGTCATACTCTCCAAGGCAACCTCAAATCTTGGCAAGAAAACCCTGTAATAGAGCCATCTTAAGTCAAAAATGACTCAAAAGCATACAACAGCAAAATCTGAAACAAATAAGAAATGCAACACTTGGAGACTGAATGATTTATCCCAATCACCGTGCCATTCACTAATTAAAAAGGCCTGACATCTTAACTAGCATGTAACTATAAATCCAAAGCATATTTCAGATTTGCTAATTTAATGATAGGAAATAAAACTTTTATGATGCCTTTTCTTGTTTATTAAATAGTAGTTTACCACCATATCAAGGGTTTGCTCTATATCTTATTAAATACACCCAGCTTGAAAGTTATGTACTATTTTTATCTGTCATTTTCAAACACATTCAAATACTTGAAGATACACATGGCTTTGTATGAGAGTAGCTACAAATATATTAAAATAGAATCCAGATGGTAAATTATAGAGTACATTGTCAAATGTCATCGGTTAGCTGAAAAAATTGATAGCTGAAAAGATGGACTAGCGGTGCTTGATCACACTGTGGACATGGCATGAAACACGAAGCAGGGACTTCGTGAACGTTTTTTATCTTGTACTTACCAAGAAACAAGTATATTTTGAGGGGAGTGAAGATTTATCCCACCAAGGTTCCTATTGGGACAGAAGAGGGAACTTCTTTCCTTTGTAATTTTCTCCTTTTTCCTGGTCAAGTCCCACTCCATATTTAGGGAATAACTAGCCATCCCCGCCACACATTGCTGTGGCCCAGTCTGCGTATATGTGTTTTGTGTATGTATATGTGTATGTATATATATATAAATAAAAATGTAATGTTCATTTGTGGGATTAACATAACTCAAAAACCACTGGACGAACTGACACGAAATTTGGACACTATACCCCTAACAGACCAACGAGTGACTATCACTCATAAAAACCCCCCAAATACAACGGAAAGGATTTAAAACCTCAAAAAAGCTAAATGACAATACAGAAAAAAGGGAAGGAAGAGGAAGGGAAAGAAGGGGAGAAAGAAAGGAAGGAAGGAAGGAAGGAAGGAAGGAAGGAAGGAAGGAAGGAAGGAAGGAAGGAAGGAAGGAAGAGGGAGGGAAAGAAAGAAGGAAAGAGAGAAAGAAGCATAGAAGCAAAGAGCAAAGGAAGGAAGGAAAGAGGTAGAGAAGAACGAAAGGAGATAAAGGGAAGGAAAAGTAAAGGGGAGGAAGAAAGGAAAGAGATAGAGAAGGAAGGAAAAAAGGAAGGAAGGAAAGAGGGAGCAAAGGAAGGGAAAGAGGGAGGGAAAGAAAGAGAGAAGGAAGGATGGAAGCAAAAAGTGAAGTAAAGAGGTAAAGAAGAAAGGAGAGAAAGAAGATAAAGAAAAAGGGGGGAAGGAAGGAAAGAGAGAAGTAAAGAAAAAAGGGAAGGAAGGAAGGAAGGAAGGAAGGAAGGAAGGAAGGAAGGAAGGATATGAGAAAAAGAGGGAAGGAAGGTTGGCCAAAGCAACGCGTGGCGGGTGCAGCTAGTATATTTATATATGTGTTTGTGTGTGTGTTTATATATGTGTGTGTGTGGTTTTGCGCATGCATTATAATGTAATTTTTGGTTTTTGGCTTTTTAAGTCCCTTCTGCTGTGTTTTTCAGTATTTTTATGAGTGATGATCACTCGTTGGCCTGATAGGTGTATTGTGTCCAAATTTGGTGTCAATTGGTTTTTGAGTTATGTTAATCCCACAAACAAACATTACACTTTTATTTATATAAATAATCTCTTACGGTTAAAGGCAGGGCACAAACACACGCACACACTGTAGGATTAATTTACGCAACACATTCATACCCTGGATATGGACCCTTGCATTACCTATTCCTTAAAACAACATTTTAGTTTCCTTGCCCCATGTACACTCCTTAGAAGGGAGGGGAAAAAACAAAACAAAATGAAGTGTTTTCCAAAGCAGGTTTAATTGCTAAAGCCATGACACTCAGCAACAGCTAGATTAGCCACCTTGTGTTTCAAAAGCTTCACGTTAATCTTCTGAACAATCAACGCTGAAATATTTTGTCAATGACAATGCATGCTTTCTCATAGTGCCTGCCTTATAGAGCATATACTCAAGTGTTTAATGCTGCTGTCTAAAAAACATGGCCTACATTCTTGCAGTAGTGTCCTTTTTAGCTGCCCATTATAAGAAACATTATAAGAAGATCTAAAGTTGTTTCTGTTGCAATGGAATTGGGGAAAGTTCTGAACTAGTTGTGCCTTCTTGAAATGAACTGGAATGGGTAAAGCAGTCGTTTAAGCTTTCATACGAGTCGTTTACACTGGATGATATTTGGTGCTTATATAAATGGACACGAGAAGGAGACATTTGAATTTGCAGTCATCCCCTTGAACATCTGCAGCCTGGATTAACCTTAGGCTGCTGACAAGCAGGGAATGATGGATAGTCATTTATCAAAACATCTCACAGTACACTGCTGTGCTAGAGAGGATGCATTCACTTTGCAGATGAAAAGGAAAGCGTGGGGCGATAGACCAGGATGACCCAGATGCTTGTTGCATATGGACAGCCCCAGAGCTTAAAGCATTTGTGGAAGAGACACGGTAGTTCAAGTGTGAGAAGCTTGCTGAGTCCTGCTGCTGAAGCAAGCACCAGACAAGTGGGAACCTTGGCATAGAAAGCAAGAAGGTGAGAGCTTACACTGGACTTTGGTACATTCCTGTCAAAGTAGTCATTGCAACCTCATGAAGAGCCATCCAAAATAAAAGATCCATACGTTTCTTAAAGAAGAATACACTTGAGATTTAAAAAAAATGCTTTAACAAAATATGGTACATTTACCTGTGCAAAGAGTCAGTTTCATCTTCTGTATACTATGGCTAGAAATAATAATAATAATAATAATAATAATAATAATAATAATAATAATAATAATATTCTTTATTTATACCCCGCCACCATCTCCCAATGGGGACTCGGAGTGGCTTACATGGGGCCAAGCCCGAGCAACAAATTACAATACAAAAAAATACAAATTGCAGTAAAATAAACAACATAACATTAAAGTATAAAACATCAAAGCATATAAACAATATACACAGAACATAGAAACCAAACATAATGACAGAGAGCGGGCCGCATGTACATAGAATGATTTAAAAACTCAGGGTGAGATAAAGGGGCAGAACTATTTGTAAGGGAGAACTCATAGAGAACTCATTTTGCTATTTTAATGTTTTAGTGTGATTTAGAATATGATGTTTTAATGACTGTCTGCAATACTGAGTCCCTCGAATGGAAGTGAGAAGACCGGTATACAAAACTGCTAAATAAATAAATAAATAGAGAGGCAAGGAAATAAACATAGAGAGGCACGGAAATAAACAAACCTTCATACATGGGGGAAGTGGAAGAGAACTCCGTTGAGGGAGCGATAGCATAACATTATGTGACTACTCTCCGAAAGCGCAACAGCAAAGCCAGGTCTTGAGACTCTTTTTAAAGGTTTCTAAAGTAGGGGCTTTCCTAATCTCTCTGGGCAATGAGTTCCAGAGTCGAGGGGCCACAGAGGAAAAGGCTCTCTCCCTTGTACCCACAAGGCAAACCTGAGAAACTGGCAAGGGCGAAAGGAGGGCCTCCCCCGAAGATCGAAGGGTTCGGGCTGGTTCATGGAGAGAGATACAGTCACGAAGGCGGGTCCTAAACCATTTAGAGCTCCTCCAAAAGGTGCTGCAAATCCCACTGACACTACCTGGAGGGCCACCCTCCAGTAAAAGAAATCAACTCAGAAAACTAAAATGAAGGTGACTAGCTTTTAATGGCATGTCAAAACCAGAAAAGAATGTAAAATGAGATCCTGAAAGATTTGGCTTTGCCAATAAATACATGAAATGGTGGCCCGTTTAATTTGACTCTTGAAAAATAAAATGCAACCGGTTTCATGCCCAAAACTATTGAGTGTGACATTCACAGTTCAAAAGCTGGGAACTTGGCCTTGTTGGGTACCAGTAGGTCAGCAAGGAAATATATTGTTCCAGTCATTCCTAAGAAAAAGATAGAAAATAGAAACAGTAAACATACTAAACACAGAAAAATGACAGTTTATACTGATGAAATTTAGATTGGCTTATTTATCGGTTAATGTAAACAACATACTTAAACTCTTGTCCAAATAGGAATCACCCCCTTCTCTGAGTAGGGTGGCAAAAAAACCCATGAGCTAGTTCATCACATAGGAGCCCCCAGTGGTGCAACAGGTTAAACCCTTGTGCTGGCTGAACTGCTAACCAAAAGGTCGGCGGTTCGAATCCGGGGAACGGGGTGAACTCACGCCTGTCAGTTCCAGCTTCTCATGTGGAAACATGAGAAAAGCCTCCCACAGGATGGTAAACCATCCAGATGTCCCTGGGCAATGTCCTTGCAGATGGCCAATTATCTCCCACCAGAAGCGATTTGCAGTTTCCCAAGTCACTCCTGACACGAAATCCACGATGCATTGTAATTATTCCAGTAAGAATTATGTATGCAATTTGGCATTGTTTTTCTTTGCTTTGTCCTTTACATCCTTTGCTATATAACAGTATGTTTTACTCTTGATTTATCCAAGGGTCATATCAAAATCCATAGATCTGGCCCTCAAATCTGCCCTTGACTTATTCATGTTGTTGACTTATATATGAGTATATGATTGCCTCTGTGGGCATGGAAAAGCAGATTAGGTGCATCTAGCAAAGTCTGTTTCTGGAGTCCTCCCTTTGGTTCGGTTGCAGATGACAAAAGCCACAGGAAAAAAAGTCAAGCTGCTGCTTAAGAGAGGAGGATGTTTGCAGAAAGCTCTACTGAAGGCTCATGCAGCCCAGTGACTATGTATGTGAAACAATCCTTGTCCCAAATTCCACCTCTGCTATGAACTCACGTCAAGTGGCCTTTAGAAAAGCTTTCTTTTAAATCGACAATGTGGTCACAATGAAGGATGACTAGAAATCTATGTGCTTTACAACAACATGTTTAGTACCATAATTAGAGGACTGGACTGGAAGATAATTCCAATGTAACTGTGTGGAACAAATGTTAATATGACATCTGCTGCATCCCTTGTTTGTTTCAGCTCCAATGAATCACTGACTGTTGTTTCAGTTTAAAGTAGTGGTGCAAGAGAAGCCAAGCCAAGTACAGCAAAGGTTGACTGGCTCTATAGAAGAGTCGGTCATTGTGCAACACTGGACAGCAACTCCCAGCATTCTTTACAACTGGGCAAGCTGGCCATGATTGCTAAGATATACAATCCAATGAAGTCTTGATAGTCACATTTTGCCCACAGCTGCTATGTAGTGTTTTCCATGAACTAAAATAATAATAATAATAATAATAATAATAATAATAATAATAATAACAACAACTTTATTTATACCCCGCCACCATCGCCCCAAGGGGACTCGAAGCGGATTACATGAGGCCAAGCCCGACAACACATCAATAAAACAAAACAAAAAAAAAACAAAAACAATACAATTAATATAAACAGTAACACACAAGGATTTTAAAAACCTACCATCCTCGAACTACAGTTTCACAAATGATTTGACCAGGTCATGTGTCGTTTCTTTTCTGAATTTTCTGCTAGGAGAACATATTCCACCTCACCATCGCTAGTTATCTGTGATCAAAGAAAAACAGTGACATGAATGAAAGAAGAGGAAACAGAGATTACCTTCAAAGAGAGAAAACAGCATGTCTGGTGTTCGACACCCGTGCTGTCCATAACTCAAACACCATTCTGCAAATTAAACAAGGAAAAATTGAAACAAACCAGTTGCACATATTATAGGAAGTTCTTCTTTCAAAATTTACTTATAAGTAGGGAATATATTTTATTTGATTTATTTACTTACTTTATTTATACCTTGCCTTTTTCCCACGGGGACTCAAGGTGGCTGACAATGCCACTCTTAAAAAGGGCAATACAATTTTAAAAAACCCAAGTAAATAATACAGTGTATTTTCAAAAGCTTTCATGGCCGGAATCACTGGGTTGTTGTAGGGTTTTTTGGGCTATATGGGCATGGTCTAGAGGCATTCTCTCCTGATGTTTCACCTGCATCTATGGCAAGCATCCTCACTACTTCTGAAGATGCTTGCCATAGATGCAAGCGACACGTCAGGAGAGAATGCCTCTAGACCATGGCCACATAGCCCGAAAAAACCTACAATTTATTTATTTATTATTTATTTATTTCATTTACTTATACCCCGCCCTTCTCACCCCGGGGGGGACTCAGGGCGGCTTACAGAGGAGGCACAACCAGATGCCTAAATCAACTGACAGCAATACAAAGCACAAAAAAGCAATTCAACAGTTAAATTAAAACATCAATGCATAATAAAATATTAAAACAATCTCATGCTCGGGTTCAGAGTCCATATATCCATTCCATTCCATTTGTCCTTGTCTATCGTCAGATCCTTAATTTAGTTGCCAGTGTGTCCAAAGGCTTGGTCCCAAACCCAGGTCTTCAGTTGCGGGTCCCCAAATAATACAGTGTGGATTACGGTGTGTGTGTATGTATGTATGTATGTGTATGTGTATGTGTGTGTGTGTGTGTGTGTGTGTGTGTATATATATATATATAAAGGCAACTATTTTCCATAGATTGTCAATGTCCGTCATCTGCAATTTAGATGTGTTCCATTTTCTTAAGAAATATTTTAGAGGTAGTTCAATCCATGGCTCAAAACTCTTAAGACAGCTGGAGAATGCAAGGAGTAGGGGGATACTGAAAAGTTTTGAGCTAGCTGTATAACAAATATTTCAGCTGCTGTCTATATCAACAAATAACATAACTCTGGAAATCATCAGGAGTGTTCGAACATTATCAGCTAGATCAGTGGTTCTCAACCTATGGGTCCCCAGCTGTTTTGGCCTTCAACTCCCAGAAATCCTAACAGCTGGTAAACTGGCTGCGGTTTCTGGGAGTTGTAGGCCAAAACACCTGGGTACCCGCAAGTTGAGAACCACGAAGTTAGACTGAAGAAAGCCCGGGAGTGTCAGGATCAGCTCTGTGTGTAAGCCAAGCTCTTGACCGCTGAGAAGCGGAGTACAAAGAAAGGAAAATATTCAGGATTCAGCTTCAAAATGAGGAATTATGTGACTTAGGCCTGCATGCAAGTCATGCCATCTCGCCTATAAAAACAGCAATTAGCCCGAAAGACAAGACGTAACCTAAGTGAGCTAAGTTACCCTTAAGGGCTAGTCAGAGAGGGAGGCTGAAAGTTAGAATAGAGAAATCTAAAAGTCAGTGTGGCTAAATAAGGAGAGGTCTGTGTGGTTGGAACATGCAGGGTAGAGTATCACATGGATGTAAATATGCATGTATGGTTGGATTAAGCACAGAAAGATATGCAATGGATCCTAAGCTATATAAACAGAATAGCTCTTTCCAGGACAGGGATTTTTACTCAGGTTCATCACAATGTTTGAAAAGTACTTTTTGTCCTGATGCCAAAAGTTCAATATAATTGTTGGCATTATCACAACAACCTGAATAGGAAAGGCATATTGACTGATGTGATACAGGAAATTTGGCCATATCTCCCTGTATGAGTTTGCCCAGACCCTGAGACCTATAGGAGAGGCTCTTCTTTTAGTCCCACCACCTTCAGATTTGGGAATGCAGGTGGATCTTCTCAGTAACAGCTCCTAGAGTCTGGACTTCTCTTCGTAGAGCAAATAAAATGCCTCCTTCTCGCTGTTCTTCCATCTGCAGCCAAGGAGGTTTTTTCCAGAACTTTATGTTTTTTAAAGAAAGGGTTTAAGAGCATGCTTTATTGTTTTAAATCACATTGTATTAATCGTTTCAGGAGAAACAGAGCATATATGTTAAATAAATAATATATTTAAAAGAGTATGCTTACATTACTTTCATATGGTGAATAGCTTAATTCGTTATATTACAATTAATAGGTTAGCTAATAAGTTAATTACTTAAAATGTAATTAATTTAATTTGTAAAATGCCTTGAGTCCCAAACTTAGGAAAAAGAGAAGTAGTAGTAGGAGTAGTAGTAGCTGCTGCTATTTATTGGTCATCTGTCATTATTACTTACATTTCTGTTGTTAGTCATCTGTCATTTACAATAATCAAGTGTTAGATCCAGTGTTTAGTTCCATGAAACTCAATGTCAAAATGACCTTGTTCCCATCCAGAATTGTTTTTAATGACTTCCCAGAAACTAAAGCCTGTTCTGCTCATGCCACACACATTCCTTCTCGTCTTTCCCGAAGCCTGCTACTCTCTCTTACAGCTTCTGCTCACCTTGCAAGCTCTGTAGAGATATTTCATGTCCTGAGTGAGGTTGTAAAGTGTCAAGAAGGCATATGCGTTGCCAGCTGTACCATGACACAGACCGTAACCTTTCTTCAGCAACCCCCACTGCCAGATCACTTCTGCACATTGCAAGGCATCGCTTAGGTACTTCTGTTCCCCAAATACCTGTAGAGAGAAGGAGCCCCGCTGTATAAGCAACTGTCCCTTGCATCAACAAAGGTTGGGACAGAAAAGTGTGTGAAGCATATTTTTGCTAATTAGCTCTTTCATCAAGGAGTGGCCTCCCTCACTTGGACAGGAGCACAATGACTTTGCCATTTACCTTCCAAGATTTTTGGAGTGATAAATGGAAAGAGCGCTGCCATTATTTAAGTCGCAACTGGCTGTCACCATTAGTCAGCCGCCACAGAACAGGACACATGGCCAATCCTCTGAGCAATAAGAATGTCCCGCACTCAGGAGGCATAACGGGGACATCTCTGGGAATCATTTGTAAAAGTCTAATTTCCATTTTAGCTGGGGAGGAAAAGTTACTGTATTTAAATATTATAACCTCCTTTAGGAACAGATGAGAGCCACAATGCACTGGGATTGTGGTGCAGCAGGCTGAGTGTCAGCTGCATTAAGCCAGCCCGGGTTGGAGTGGGTTTCCAACCAATTATGTGTAGCCTGTTGTCGACCTTTGCAACCCGAAAGACAGTTGCATCTGTCAAGTACGAAAACAAGGTACCACCTTAAAAAGTGTGGGGAGGCTAAATTAACTGATTTATGAGGCCATAAAGAAGACTCCAGCAAAGCATTCCAGCGGGGAAGCATGCGGGGAATGCGGAAGTGCTTCATCAGCATTGCAGATGGATGATGAAAGCGACAGCTCCCTGGCGGCCAGAAAAAGTTAAATAGCCTCTGTCTATGTCTGTATATGTTGTATGTCAAAATTGGCATTGAATGTTTGCCATATATGTGTACACTGTAATCCGCCCTGAGTCCCCTGTGAGGTGAGAAGGACGGAATATAAAAGCTGTAAATAATAATAATAATAATAATACTTTGCTGGGCTACTCATGTCTCTCTTCCCAGTAAGCCACCTACCTTGTAGGCCTGGAGGAGCATGTAGATAACACCGGGAACCCTGTAGCACCAATGAACAAGCAGGTCTCTATTGTCTTCAATGCACGGGGGGTAATTGCCTGAGGGGAACTTGAGCTGGCAGACAAAATCCACACTTGGCTTGACCTCGTTGTGTAGCTTTGCTTGACTCACTCCAAGGCCGGGCTGAGACAGACAGACAGACACTCTGTTACATCTGTGATAAGCAGAAACTTTGTTCAATGGTCAGGACTGGTTATAAAGCTATTAAAGGTGCCACTACTTTCCCAACTCTTTCAGCCTTGGTGCAAGCTCATGTTGCTCCATATATTATTGACCATGACTAATGGCCTATGTTATGGCTACATATTAAAAAGGATTACTGATGACCTCTTAAATACAGGGATTAATAAGGCACTGTATTTACTTGAGAATAATGCAACACTGACTGTAATGCACATCTCAATTTTTAAGGTGTGCATTACGAAAAAAAGATTTGCTTTCAGATGTAACATCAGGTGGTGGCGGCTACGAAAAGCATGGTGGAAAGCTGCACCTTCCATCTGGCCTTCTCACCAATCTTTTCCCAGTCACTGCTTCCTCTCCCTTATGTGTGGGATCTCTTGTTCAACAGTGCAAGAGAGCTTAAGTGCGTGATTCTATTGCACCATTGAATCTAATCAATTTGAGTTATTTACTCCCAAAAAGTGAGCATTAGACTCGAGTAAATATGCTAGCTAACAAAGACAACAAAACAATAAAACAACCAGCTCCAAAAATTCAGAAATAGCAGCACCATGAAAAGCATATTCTCCAGCAAATCTCCAAGAAGCGAGCAGTTAGGGAACCTGATGATCAAACAATGTGGCCATTCCAGAGCTAGGACACCACGACCAAGGAAATCCTCCTTCTCCTGTCAAAAACCTCACTCTGGAAAATAGCTGCACACTGAACAGGTCTCTGAAGGGGAAACAGGTGATCCAATCTTCCTCTCTATCTATTGCTTATCATTTCAAGTACCTCTAAAGTGACTGGAGTCATCTGCACTTCACTAGTAATTTGGCATAATGTACTCCGGGAAAGGAAACATTAGCAAAGGCTGTTACAGAACTACAGCTGGCCCTCTAAGGTTGTGGATCTGTGAATTGGACCATTATAGTGGTTGTGATGGCAGCTAAGATATAGTCATGAGACCTCTTAAACTAGCAGCTGAGGCAGAATGGAGCCCTCTCAGTTCAACAGGAAGGTCCTCACCTGCATGAGATAGTAATAAATCCCAGCAAGGCCATGGGCTGCTCCTACGTAGTACTCCTGGTACCATTCATACATCAGTGGGCTCTTGGCTGTGAAGTTTCGCTTTTTAGCTAAGTTTTCACCAGATGCCAAAACTGCCTCACAAACCTGCAATAAAAAAGAGATTAGAAGCAACAACATTAATTCATTTTTTCAATATTTTTAAATGTTTTAACAACAAAAAACAAGCATAAAGGCAACAATGAATAAACATATGAATACATAAACAAAGACATACTTAGCCAACCATTATCTATTGATCTCTACTCTAAACCTACCAACTCTAAATCTACCAACCTATGCATAAATTAGTTTTAAAAATGGATTCCCAGCTTCTCTTTTGTTGGTTTCTCTATAAATTTAACATTTTTCTTACACTTTATATCCAGTGGATTGTTTACTTCTGCTTGTTTTAACACTTACAAGAGACAATCCCAAAATTTTATGTCTCCAAACCGGTTCATAAAGTCTTTCCTTTTCCCTCAGATATATAATGATAATATGGTTTCCATTCTTCCAAGAACATGTTCAGTGGCTTATCCTCCAACATTGATAATTTATCCATTTCTATGAATTACTACATCTTCACTGTCCAGACTTCTGGACAGCAACATTAATTCATAAGCCACTTTTTTCTTAATACAAGGGCTCAAGGCAATTCACAAAGATGAAAATATAAAGAAAAAGATTAATTAAAAATACAGAGTTATTATTAAGATGCCATTGAACAACTTCCAGAACTATTAAAAGCCAATTAAAAGACAGAAGATGAAAAGTCAGTAACCATGAAAATCCCATCATTCTCAATTCTTTAATTTTGTAGGAAGAGAAATGGGACAGAAGGAAAGCAAGGCTGAAGCCATCCTAGTCTCTCTCTTAGGAAGGAGTGCAAAAGCTTGGGAGTAGAAACCAGGAAAGCCCTCTCCCTTGCTCCCACCAAATTGGCATGGGAAAATGGTAGGACTGAAAAAAAGGCCTTCCCTGAAGATCTAAGATGAGGGTGTCAAACTTCAGATGTTTGGGCCTCCAACTCCAACAAGCCCTAGACAGCTTATCCAATGGCCAGGAATTATGGGAGCTGAAGTCCAAAACTTCTGAAGAGCCACAGTTTTGACACCAGTGATCTAAGAGATTAGGCAGGTTTATACAGGATGCTATTAGGTCCTTCAGACAGCTTGAACATGAACTATATAAGTCTATATCAGTCATAACTTGCACTTTGAATTGTGGTTGGAAATGAACTGGCAGCTAGTCAAACCTTTGTGGTAAAGGAATTACATGTTCCCTGTAGATAGATATTATGTGTTCCCCACCTCAAGCCACAAGGAAAGAGAAGTAATAAATTATTATTACTATTATTGCTACTATTATCATCATCATCCCCAGTAAACAACTTGGCTGTTGGTCTTTTGGCCAACAACAGTTTCTGACACTTTTCAAAGGCAGCTCCATATACCGCCTCTACCTTGGGTGTGTTAAAGAGGGTGTGTTAAAAATCAGAGGGATTTTGGAGACCAGGCATGCTGTTGCACCCCAGAGTAGGAACAGGACCCTCTAATCATTAATTACACCACACCTTGGATGACAAAAGAGTGATTTTTATTTGAAGAATAATTGGAGCCAATAAGAGATGAATATAAAGTTGATAATACTCCAAAAGCAAAAAGCCAAATAAGCAGAAACAATAGCAGTGTCCAAACATAGGAAAAATATCAAAGATCCAAAAGCTTGCTGTTTAAATCCAGATTAAAAAAAATATCAAATGCCTTCCATAAAAACCATTAGCATAGCCACTGCTAATCCACTTGAAAAGCCAGGAAACCTAGGCCACAAGAATATCCAAAAGACTTGACTTGAAACCAAATGTTGCCTGGTCTGAAAGAAATTTCCTAAGAGTTCAATTTAAGTCCCAGAAACTGATTTCTACTTCCCCTAGTCTTTGAACTTTCTGACTTGCATAAACATTGGGCCTCCCTACGGTTCTGGCTAATTTCCAGCCGGCGATTGGTCTTATCTATCTCTTCGTTGACTGCAGGTGTGAAACTATTTTGTAGACTCGAGCCTGGAGAAGGGAGTGAACTTTGCTGAAAACTCGAGCCTGGGATTTTCTCATGAGAACTTAGCCTTTCCCCTGACCCTTCTCGATCAGAGTCTGTAGTAAGCTTTTTGTCCAAAGTGTCTCCATTTTAATGTATTGTCGAAGGTTTTCATGGCTGGAATCACTAGGTTCTTGTAGGTTTTTTCGGGCTATAGGGCCATGTTCTAGAGGCATTTCTCCTGACGTTTCGCCTGCATCTATGGCAAGCATCCTCAGAGGTAGTGCACCTCATCCTCATTGACATCCAAGACAGGCTCAGAAACATTAGAAGGGTGAAACACTATAACAGATTCAGGGTGAAACACAGGCTGAGTCCGAACAACACCAGACATAACTTTAATTCCGCATCACAGACACCTGAACAAGCAATAGGATAACTGGTAGCTATAAAGAAAACCAGCAAAAGTTAAGAGGATTACGATGCTCTAGCAATAGAAACAATCAGAGACTTACAATGAGATTGCTTCATGCATTAACACTGACGGACATCAGACTGAGAATTGTTTCAGTTTAATAAGTGAACTGTTTAATAGAATTTTGTACACTTTCTATATCATTGGCATGCTATTGATGCACACAGACAAAATTAGGCTGTTAAGACTTAGGCTCTTTTGACCAAACATCAATTATATGCCAGTTACAGACAAAACACTGCACTGAAGTGTGTTTCATCGTGACTTTGGAGAAAGAAACCTTCATATTTAGCTGCTAAAGTCAAACAAGTCAAATTGGAAGCAGAGTGAAAGCTTGTTGTGATAGAGTCTAATTCTGAGCAATTGGCAGAAAAAATAAAGAACAAAGCAAAATTGACAAAAATAAAAATCAGTGCCCATTTGAGCTGTTTATAAGTTGACACTGACACTGATGGTTGACTCAAATCCTTGATTTATAACATTTTAAGATAATATACACCAATGAGCTTCAAAGATTTTTTAAAAAGATGAAAAGTGTAGAAAACTGATATTGGAAAGTATGTTTTTGTAGGAAATCTGTGACCTTCCAAATGCCATTGGGACAGTGACCTGCTTTAATTAGAAAATTGGGTTTCACATCGAGGCCATGATAGCATTTTGCACCATTGTAATAAATTAGGAAGACCAGGATGGGTCAAGGAGCAACCAATTCACACTGGATAAAATGTACTTCTGTGAATGTCAAGAAACAGATATCAAAAGAAAACAGTTTGATTTGTTCAATTATTTCTCTGGCCTATGAGTTTGTTTTATAGGCAATCTTGCCAATGAGACAACAGCTAAAGCCCCTTCCCAGCACTAGTCTCACAATGCCATTAGATGGCAGCATGGGATTGGGTTGATTTAGCCGTTCCACAGAAAAAATGGAACAAAGGACCAATTTCTGAAATTAACCAAGGAGAGAGATTGTGATTATTGTTAGGAGGGAGAATGTGATCTGTCATCAGCAATATCAGGTATATGCTTATTGTAAAGGTTAGAGTCACACGAGCACAACAACATACAAGGATGACAAATTGGGTCAGTCGGGGTGCTTGTTTAAACAAGATAAATAAAATGTATGGGGTTAACTGTAAAACAGGAAATATGGACATGTGACATATATAGAGAAGGCTCACAATATGTTAATTGATTACAAATAAATTCAAATTATGTTTAGCAATGTTTACTTTACAAAACAATCTAACCTTTTAAGGAGCTGGAACACAATCAAGGAAGTATAGGTTGGGTATCCCTTATCTGGAATCCCAGAATTCCAAAATAAAATCCCAAAATTCTCCATGTGGGTGGCCGAGACAGTGACACCTTTGCTTTCTGAGGGTGCAATGTATGCATACTTTATTTTCTGCACAAAATTACTGCAAGTATTGTGTATAAAACTGCCTTCAGGTTATTTGTGCAAGGTTTGTATATGAAAATATTTTAAAATCTGAAGTACTTCTGGACCCAAGGGATACTCAGGCTTGGGTCCAGCTACAGTGTAGCTTCTTTTTCATAGAATCATAGAATCAAAGAGTTGGAAGAGACCTCATGGGCCATCCAATCCACCCCCCTGCCAAGAAGCAGGAATATTGCATTCAAAGCACCCCTGACAGATGGCCATCCAGCCTCTGTTTAAAAGCTTCTAAAGAAGGAGCCTCCACCACGCTCCAGGGCAGAGAGTTCCACTGCTGAACGGCTCTCACAGTCAGGAAGTTCTTCCTCATGTTCAGATGGAATCTCCTCTCTTGTAGTTTGAAGCCATTGCTCCGTGTCCTAGTCTCCAAGGAAGCAGAAAACAAGCTTGCTCCCTCCTCCCTGTGGCTTCCTCTCACATATTTATACATGGCTAATGTATAAATTTATATATGTTGTTGTTGTTGTTCTTTTTATATCAGTGGTTTTCAGGCAAACCATGTTATGCCAGCTGTGTTTGGCGGGCTGGATCCCAGCTGTGTAGCACATTACAAAGCATCATCCTTATATAGTTATGATTCACCTAGTATGAGCCCAGTTCAGAGAGAGAATAATATAAATGTAGTTGGGCTTTTTTTGTTTCGGTGTCAGGAGCAACTTGAGAAACTGCAAGTCGCTTCTGGTGTGAGAGAATTGGCCATCTGCAAGGATGTTGCCCAGGGGGCACCTGGATGTTTTGATGTTTTGCCATGCTTGTGGAGGCTTCTCTCATGTCCCTCATGGGGAGCTGAAGCTGACAGAGGGAGCTCATCCGTGCTCTCCTTGGATTCAAACCTCTAACCTGCCGGTCTTTAGTCCTGCCAACACAAGGGTTTAACCCATTGTTGGCTGAAACTACACATACATAATCACATACACATATTCACAACAGAGTATACTAGGATAAGCAGTCAAAGCAAATGAACAGGAATGATACCTGAGAAAGAGGGGATAATAGGATGATCTAACTCAACAACTTGCCTGCAACCAACTAAGATTTACATTAGGTTCTTGTGGGTTTTTTCGGGCTATAGAGCCATGTTCTAGAGGCATTTCTCCTGACATTTCGCCTGCATCTATGGCAAGCATCCTCAGAGGTAGTGAGGTCTGTTGGAATTAGGACAATGGGTTTATATATCTGTGGAATGGCTGGGGTGGGGCAAGGAGCTCTTCCTTGCTGGAGCTAGGTGTGAATGTTTCAGCTGATCACCTTCATTAGCATTTGAAGGTGATCAGCTGAAACATTCACACCTAACTGCAGCAGGGAAGAGCTCCTTGCCCCACCCCAGCCATTCCACAGATATATAAACCCATTGTCCTAATTCCAACAGACCTCACTACCTCTGAGGATGCTTGCCATAGATGCAGGCGAAACGTCAGGAGAAATGCCTCTAGAACATGGCTCTATAGCCCGAAAAAAACCCACAAGAACCTAGTGATTCCAGCCATGAAAGCCTTCGACAATACAAGATTTACATTATTCCTCTCTGAACCGTTCTTTTTCTGTACCATCACCGCAGCTATTATGTGGTGGTGTATGGAAACTGGAGACTAAATGTCCTCATTTTCCTTTGCTTTCCAAGCTCCTTTTCATTCTATTTTATGTCTTCTAGACAGCATGCCATTGTTATAAACAGTAAACTTACTTTCAGTAAGTGTTGAATCCAATTTCTCGCATGGGGTTTTCTTAGCAAGATATTTCAGAGGAAGGTCTAGAGCCCGAAAAAATCTCCAACACCCAGTGATTCCGGCCATGAAAGCCTTCGGCAATACATTATTTCAAAGAAAGTTCGCCATCGCCTTCTTTTAAGGCTGTGAAAGGTAACTTGTTCAAGACTACCCAGTACACTTCTATGGCTGAGTAGGGATTGGTTCGCAAACAGTAAACTACTTTAAATCTACTGGCAGAAAAGTAATACATAAAAGTGGCAAATGAATGAAACCCGATGTCTGAATTAGGGGTGTCAAACTCATTTTCATAGAGGGCTACCATCAGCCTTATAGGTGCCTTCAAAGGGCTGTTGAATACATGGACAGAGAAGTAGTGGATACAGAGGGCCAATTATACATGCAAAGATATATACATAGTGGTCAACGCTCTTTAATTTTTCCCAGTTTGAGTCTCCAGATGTTACTGAATGACAACTCCCAACACTTTTGATTATCTGCCATGCAGACTGGGGATAATGGTAATTGCAACTCAACAACCCTGGTAGTTTTGGTTATTTGAGAATGACCAGTTCTAGTCCAACCCAAACAGTGTTGAATATGTCCTTGCACTCTTACCTATTACCCCGGTCATCCCTCTACCAGGCCCTGGAAATGAGCAGCCACAGACCCGTACCTGCTATTGCCATTAGCCTGTTATAGCACTGTACTTAATTCCCGGCCCCTCATATTTTGAGTTTGCACTAGCCTTGGCCCGGCTTTTTAATTGCTCTGAATAGGCAGGATTACTTTTAATGTACATGTGTTATTGTGATAATTTTATGCTTATGTTGTTTTGTGAATTTTATGTTATGCTGTTTACTTTGTATGTTTCTGTGATGTTACTTGGGAACCGCTCTGAGTCCCCCTCGGGGAGATAGTTTTTATTATTATTATTATTATTATTATTATTATTATTATTATTATTATTATTATTCTGAGGTTGGGGAAAGGTTAAAGGGCATTTTCAAGTCAGAAATCCTATCCACAAGCCTTGTATCTGAATTCAAATCTAACTATCATCTCTAAATAGAACAATGCAGCCCATCAGATGTTACTGTATCACAACTCCCATCAATTAGTCTTGATGTCTAATGATGAGTCCAGCATATTGGGGGGGGGGGGGGACACGACATGGAGGGCCAGATTTGGCTTGTGGGTCTTGAGTTTAACACATGTGGTCTATATCTAGCTGAATTACTATAGATAAAGAAGGCTCTTTAGTTATGGATTAGGTTCAAGAAATGCCTATTCAATTATTGCAACTCCAGGCCCATATCAGAATTGGTCACACCGTTTGCGAAACTTGAAAAATAGTTCACAACGGCATTATATTCAATTACGTATTGAAAACTACAAGGTAAATTGTGTAAATATTTTGATAAATGAATTACATTGTACAAATATAAATACACACAGACATACACCCCTCGTAAAAACCCTGCCTGTCCCCTCCTCCTTCAATAATCTCAGTATACACTATTATTATTATTATTATTATTATTAATAATAATAATAATAATAATAACTTTATTTATACCCCGCTAACATCTCCCGAAGGACTCGGTGCAGCTTACAAAGGCCAAGGCCCTCAATAAAACAACAGCATAACAAATACAATAACAAAACTCATAAAGCAAAACAATAAACATTAAAGCAATAAAAGTAAAACATTAAAACAATAATATTATGACGCATTTAAAACTAAAGACCGGGCCAACTGTAATGAAAAAATTAAAAGTGCTGGACATGACAGGTGAAATGTAAAGGATTTTAGGGTAGGTGTGATGTGCAGACAATCTTAAATCTCTAATAAAGTGCGTTTGGGACATGATGCTGGGAGTTTCCTATTCTGGAAAGGCACACTGGAACAGCTAGGTCTTCAAGCTCTTCCTAAAGACTGCCAACATTGGGGCTTGTCTGATGTCCTTGGGGAGAGAGTTCCAGAGTCGGGGGGCTACCACAGAGAAGGCCCTGTCCCTCGTCCCCACCAAACGCGCTTGCAACGCAGGTGGGATCGTGAGCAGGGCCTCTTCAGATGAACGGAGGGATCGTGTGGGTTCATATACGGAGATGCGGTCATGCAGGTAGGTGGGTCCCAAACCATTTAGGGCTTTGTAGGTGACCACCTGCACCTTGAATTGGGACTGGAAAATGAACGGCAGCCAATGGAGCTCCTTAAACAGGAGGGTTGCACTACATTGGCAACAAGCTGCACTGGGTTTCTTCCAAGCTGACACAATGGAAAGCTGCATCTCCCTAATACGCTTGTGTTCCCATGAAAACAGAATTGCAGAGGCCTCTTTGTTTCCCTTCCACATATTCACCTTGCCTACACTTGATGATACGCTGGCCTATATCCCACACCACATGGGTGCTGCAGCACCAGCTAAACAATCATTCTTCTCCCCATTTCTACTTGCAAGACACGACTCTGGAGACCTTTGGCGAAGATCCTGGAGGAAAGTGGGAAGGAGGGATAAAACGGGAAACAAAGATGATCCTCTCTGCCCCAGTTTTCTGATGCATGAAATTTAGACTGCTAAACTTATGCTGTTGAAAGCCCAACTTGAGGAGAAGCCATCCGCTCACACATTCTCAAGACATTACCGAGCAATGCAGTCTTCTGCCTGCTTGTCATTCTGCAGCTTGTGGGATACCACAACAGCCACCGCAAAAGGTCCAGCATCCCCACATAAAAAGGTGATGGATCGCTTTGTTAGGCAGCCAAGGCTCTTCTTGACATACTCCTGAGCCATCTGAAGGAAGGACGAGTCTCCGTACACATCATATAGATGCAAGTATAGCAAAGCAATGCCTGAAAAAAGATTTAGGAAAAACAGAACACCACTCAGATTAATGCCTGGATGTTACGTAACTAAAATCCTGGCCTTCCAGAGTCCTAATGAAACACTCAAACCATGTGTTATTTTAAATTTTAAAAATAAAATGAGCATTACAGTATTTTAATATGTTATGAACATAGGTAAAGGTTTCTCTTTGACATTAAGTCTAGTCATGTCCAACTCTGGGGGGTGGTGCTTATCTCCCTTTCTAAGCTGAAGAGCCAGTGTTGTCCAAAGACACCTCCAAAGTCATGTGGCCAGTATGACTGCATGGAGCACGGTTACCTTCCCGCCAAAGCGGTACCGATTGATCTACCCACATTTGCATGTTTTCAAACTGCTAGGTTCACAGAAGCTGGGCCTAACAGCAGGAGCTTACCCTGCTTCCCAGATTCGCACCATCAACCTTTTGGTCAGCAAGTTCAGCAGCTCAGTGGTTTAACCTGTTGCACCACCAGGGACTCCATCATGAACATAATATGTTGAAAAACTCAATAGTCTATTTCTCGGCTTTTTCAGCTAACAACCCTTCCTTCCTTTGGACCATAAACATGGGAGCAGAATTCAAAGTTCATCTGGAAATACCAGTATGCAAAGGAATCTTGTATTATCTTAAAGACAAAGATTCGCAGCTTGGGAGTGATCCTGGACTCATCGCTGAGCCTGGAAGCCCAGATTTCAGCAGTGACCGGGAGAGCATTCACACAATTAAAACTTGTGCGCCAGCTGCGTCTGTACCTTGGGAAGTCTGACTTGGCAACGGTAGTACACACTCTGGTTACATCCCGTTATAGACTACTGCAATGCTCTCTACATTGGGTTGCCTTTGAAGATGTCCAGAAGCTCCAGATGGTCCAGCGGGCAGCAGCCATGTTGCTAATGGGAGCGGCACACAAGGAGCATACAACTCCTCTGTTGCGCCAGCTCCACTGGCTGCCAGTCTGCTACCGGGCACAATTCAAAGTGCTGGCTCTAACCTATAAAGCCCTTAACAGTTCTGGACCAACTTACCTATCCAAACGGATCTCCCCTTATGAACCCTCCAGGACTTTAAGATTGTCTGGAGAGGCCCTACTCTCGATCCTGCCTTCGTCACAAGTACGGCTGGCGGGGACGAGAGACAGGGCCTTCTCAGTGGTGGTCCCTCGGCTATGGAACACCCTCTCTAGGGATATTAGATCGGCCCCTTCCCTTTTAACATTTTGAAAGCAGGTCAAGATGTGGCTCTTTGAACAAGTGCTTGCAGACACAATATAAAAGACATGGAGAAAAAACAGAACGTCTCAACGATGCTATTGGATAACGCTTTTAACTAGGAGACTCAAATTGATATATGTTTTTATTGATATTAATTGTTTTATTTGGTTTTATATTTAAATTGGCTGTTTTTTAAATTGTATTTTACGTCTTTGATACTGACTGTAAACTGCCCTGAGTTGCCTTCGGGCTGAGAGGGGCGGTATATAAATGTAGTAAATTAAAAAAAAAATAATAAATGAGATAATTTTTTTTGGTCGTGTCAGGAGTGACTTGAGAAACAGCAAGTCGCTTCTGGTGTGAGAATTGGCCGTCTGCAAGGATGTTGCCCAGGGGACACCCAGATGATTTTGATGTTTTTATCATCGTTGTGGGAGGCTTCTCTCATGCCCCCGTATGAGGAGCTGGAGCTGATAGAGGGAGCTCATCCGCCTCTCCCCGGATTCGAACCTGCGACCTGTCGGTCTTCAGTCCTGCCAGCACAGGGGTTTAACCCACTGTGCCACTGGGGGATCCAATGAGATAATGAAGTTGGTAGCATGATTTTTCATAGACTGAGTTTACTTTCTTAGATGCAACTGAGGAAGTAAACTCAAGCTGCATCTAAACTGTAGAATTAATGCAGTTGGACACCATTTTAACTGCCATAGGGTCAATGCTATGGAATCAATTTTTTTACGAAGTCTTTAAGCCTTCTTTATCAAATAGTGCTGATGCCACATCATATTACAATTCCTGGGATTCAATGCTATCCAGTCATGGCAGTTAAAATGGTGTCAAACCGAATTAATTTGACCGTGCAGGTATACCCTTAGGTAGATTCCTTTGTATACAGAAGCAGTAATGGTTGCAGGAGATATGGCCGGAGATTCAAAGTGCAATGCCTAAAATGGGCTTAGTATTAATGTGAGGTTAATCATGAGCTGAATGTATGATAACACAATCAAAGGATACAAAATCAAAACACTTTAACAACTTGCTGTCCTTCTATTTCCAGTTTTCTGGTTTAAACACTTTGGTTTGGTATGAGAGGCAAACCAGATCTAAATTCAAATCCTGTCTGTGCTATGGACTTGTGAGCTTTGGGAAAGTTACACCAATTAATGTGAATGATAAATAAGCCATGCCATAAGGCTGTTGAACATCATGCAGTTCTCCAAATGTTTTTGTGTATCTAGTGATAAGAAATGTTATTTAACAACACCTGAAAGACTCTCCAATTCTCACCTCTGCCGTAAAGAATGGGTTGCAGGAAATCTAACTGGCAATTCACAATAATATTTTAAACAGATACTTAAAATATGCCCCAAAGCCCAGGCAGGAACACTGATTCACCTGGGGTGGTTATCAGAAATAGCAAGACCATTCCTCATAAATAGAGCTCTATGGACCGTACGTTATGTTCAGCTGAAAGGCCATTGGTATAACTTATTTCAAACAATTTGTCACAGGACACAAATCCCTGCTTGTTGGAAAACTGAACCGAAGACAGGTCTGTGGGCATCCTCAAACAATATAATGGGACCCAGCGGCCTGCATCATTTCCAGATTTCTCATTTTATCCCTCGCAGCGTATTTCCATTTCATTAACCATTTGTAAGACAACACAGGTCTCTGTATTTAAGACTAAATTAAGAGAGCTGGTGTTGGCAGATTTCAATGCAGCAAAAAAAAAAAATGAAAGAAAAAAAGGAGCAGCCTTCAAAATTACTTTCCGCTGTACTGGGGTGAGTTTTAAATTTAGATCATTTTCTCATTTTGCATGGGTAATCTCCAAAGCTTCACACCACGGACGATTCAATTCTCCATGTATATTACGGGCAAATTTCCATATCCTGCTGAAGTTAATAACCTTGTCTGTTCTCTAGGCATTCACAGTTTTAGCATTCCCAATGAGGGCAGTGCAGAGGCCGGTTACCATTAGCCACATCTTCAAAAGGTGTGTACTTGGAACTATTCTTATGAAAAGAAAGACCAATTGTAGGATGCAGTCGTTTTCACAGCACTGGTCTAACACACCACTGGCCAGGGGTGTGTACATGGACAAGATGTCCACAGAAAAGAATAGCCCTTTGCGCAGGAAGTGCAAGAACTGCCCTTGAATAATAATGTCTATATTTAAATCAATGTGTCAGGCTAAAACAAACTAGTTTACACATGAACTTTAACTAGTTAACTAATTCATGAGCAAACCAGTTTTTTTTTTAGCCTGACTCATTTCGGGGGGCGGGTGGTTAAACCCTTAAAGACCACCACCCCCCCCCCCCCCCCCCCCCCCCCCCCCCCCGGACTATGGGCCTGGTCATGGACTCATTTTAACATGAAACATTATTTTCTGTGGGTTGTTGTAGGTTTTGTGGGCTATATGGCCATGTTCTAGATGCATTATCTCCCGATGTTTCTCCTGCATCTATGGCAAGCATCCTCAGAGGTTGTGAGGTTACTACCTCTGAGGACGCTTGCCATAGATGCAGGCGAAACATCAGGAGAGAATGCCTCTAGAACAGTGATTCTCAACCTATGGGTCCCCAGACGTTTTGGCCCTCAACTCCCAGAAATCCTAACAGCTGGTAAACTGTTTGGGATTTCTGGGAATTGTAGGCCAAAACACCTGGGGACTCACAGGTTAAGAACCACTGCTCTAGAACATGGCCATATAGCCTGAAAAACCTACAACAGCCCAGTGATTCCAGCCATGAAAGCCTTCGACAATACATTATTTTCTGTGTTAAAAAGCTTGACAAACTATGCTTTAATACTTTCTATCGTTAACAATTCTGGAAGTTGAACTAAATGAACTTGCTTTAAAAGACTACTTTTAAAAAAACTGATTATAATAAGCTTTGACATGATTTATATCTTCCAATAAAACACTAATTTGTTTTACTAATTATTCCTATTAGAACTGAATATATGTAGGCTATACATAATAAAACATGCAAAGTACTCTCAGCGATAGATAAAAGAAGAATAAGTCAATGTTAAGCATTAGTTCTACTTAACATTTAACTCAAGTTCTTTTGGTTGAACTTATGTTAACTGAAGGGTGTGTTTCTGAATAGCATTAGTTGCACTATAAAATAAAGTGAATCAGTTTCTGGACGATCTAGATCAGGGGTCCTCAAACTTTTTAAACAGAGGGCCAGGTCACAGTCTCTCAAACTATTGGAGGGCTGGCTGGACTATAATTTGAAAAACATGAATGAATTCCTATGCACACTGCACATATCTTATTTGTAGTGCAAAAAAACACTTAAAACAATACAATAATTAAAATGAAGAACAATTATAACAAATATAAACTTATTCGTATTTCAATGGGAAGTGTGGGCCTGCTTTTGGGTGATGAGATAGGATTGTTGTTGTTGTTGTGTGCTTTAAAGTCGTTTCAGACTTAGGTTGACCCTGAGCAAGGGCTGGGTAAATGACTTTTGAGGGCCGTATCCGGCCCCCGGGCCTTAGTTTGAGGACCCCTGATCTAGAGATTCCTAGGACCTTATCACATTAGGAAATACTCCATTTCTGAGACTGTTTGAGAATTATTTCAGACAGGTCCCATCACATGATGTTTATCCCATCCCATCAGTATTCCGTTGGAAGCTGTCTGCAAAGTGTTGCAAACACAGATTATTTGCAGACAAAATTTTAATAGTGTCTCTTGAAATACTACCGATTCATCCATTGCTGAAGCGCTGTTTTTGTGTATGATAAGAAAATCTGTATGCACCCCATTAGCAATGATACTTTTTAAAAGGCCATAGTACGGTGCAGGGGGTGTTTTGAATGGATTGGGAGGAGCCGGCCTTCCATGGTGTGATGAGTCAAAGCGCAGAATTTTCAAATCATAAGACTACTAATAATCAGGTGTGATGAGGAGAGTATGCACCCTGTCTCAATACAGTATGCATCCAGTCCTAAAACAATATGGGATGCATACTGATGTAAACAGATTATATCCCAATGTGATAAAGTCACTAGGCAGAACATATTAATCCAATTGGCAAATCATCAAATCTGCAAAAGTGAAACCTGCAAATGTGGAGGACTGCCTGCAATTGGTTTGAGTCAAAAGGAGCAAGTATAAGCAGAGGCACACAATTGCTTGGATCACACACAATACGTCCCAGCTTTAATTCAACATTTTACCAAGAGAGAAGAGTAACAAGACATCAAACGTATCTTCATTTAATATGCAAATAGGGTTTGCCACCTGCAAGCTAATTTTGGCAGCAAACTCTGCAGAAGAAACAGTTTTATATGTAAATATTTAGGTTTCTTCCCTTAAGCAAACATTAAATTTGCTGCTTTATAGATGAAAAGTGATCCAGTCTAATAATTCCTAATCGTTGCACAAAGCAAAAATAGTACTAGGTAATGCGGTATGTTTTACTGTAGTCAACAAAAAAGAAGGGTCAGATTTGGATCGCTTTACAAACACCTTCTTTTACCAGACTCAGCATAGTTTGAGGCCCAAATGTTTCAAGCATCTTAATTAAAGATGTAACAGCAGTCGTTCTTTAGTCTGCTGTTAAATAACGTCTTTACAAAAGCCTCTTAAATTTCTTCTTCAGGACTGTGAGTAACTAGGAAAGGGGAGGAGTGGGCAAAATTAGCACCAAAGAGAAAAGCTAAGGATACATAAGAAACAGAGGAAAAAATAAAAGCAGGGATTCCTGAAAAAAAGGAAAGAAGGTCCATTTTGGGCCCATTTTTCTTCATTTTTCATGAAGGATGCTTCTTTCCTATATTGTCAACAAATAGCACACTTCTCTGGCAAATGTCACTTGCATTTCCTCATTTTTTTAACAGTACAGCTTTCTACCTTTCAAACTTCCTGATGGGAACTGAGTGACCCAGTAAACCAAAAGCCAAGGCCACCATCATTGGCTCTCGGTGGTACTAGGTGCACCTGTCAACTACTACTACTTCTACTACTACTACTACTACTTCTTCTTCTACTTCTTCTACTTCTTCTTCTTCTTCTTCTTCTTCTGCGATCCCTCGTTGTCCGAGTAGGATAGTCTTCCAAGGTCAGTGTACTGGAGGTGGGTTCGTAGGTGACTCTGGAGCCCTATTCTTGATCTGCATCTACTCCCACAGTGAGGGCATCGGTTTCCAGGTGGAAGGCGGTCCCAGTTGGGGTTGGCTTGACACACCTTCCTCTTGGTACGTTTCTCTCTTTCACCCTCCATTCATGCCTCTTCAAATTCTGCAGCACTGCTGGTCACAGCTGACCTCCAGCTGGAGCGCTCAAGAGCCAGGGCCTCCTAGTTCTCAGTGTCTATACCAGAGTTTTTAAAGGTTGGCTTTGAGCCCATTTTAAAATCTCTTTTCCTGCCCACCAACATTCAGTTTTCCGTTCTTGAGTTCGGAGTAGAACAAGCGCTTTGGGAGATGGTGGTCGGACATCTTGGACAACGTGGCTGGTCCAGCAGAGTTGATGGTGGAGGACCATCGCTTCAATCCTGGTGGTCTTTGCTTCTTCCAGCATGCTGGCATCCACTTGTCTTCCCAAGAGATTTGCAGGATTTTCCAGAGGCAGCGCTGATGGAATCGTTCCAGGAGTTGCATGTGACATCTGTAGACAGTCCATGTCTCACAGGCGTATAGCAGGGTTGGGAGGACAATAGCTGTCAACCAGGACCTGGACAAGGAGGTAACATGACCCTTCTAACATGTAGGATGCAATGGGACTTGGGAGTTAACCAATGGGGAAATTGGTGCTAGCTTTCTAACTCCATCACCAGAGAATGCTTGCAAATGGTGAGACGTATCGTCCCTCATGGTAACACAATCACAATGAAGAAAACAAATCTTATGCAGTTATGGTGGACAACGTGCAAGCAAAAAGCAAGACTGCTTGGTGCTGGCAACACGTCCACTTTGGAGTGAGAAGGGCAGAATATAATTGTTTTAAATAAATAAACAGTGTCAATCCAAGGAATGATTAAACCAGAGAGAATTGGGCTTCTGAAAGCCAACACCAGCCCACACCAAAACGTGACTGTGATCCTTCAGCCTTGTAATGGAATTGCGGAAGAAAGAGCTGAGACTGTTCCTTCCCAATTTCTCTTATTAGCTGCCACATGAGTGCCAATTGATTTCAGATTGCCAGGAGATTATCTACATGAGGAGATGCTCAACAAGCCTTTCCTGCAGAAGCAATTAAGATGGAATGCTGTTGCGTTGGCCCAATTAATTTCTTCTAACCTGAAACACACTGAATAAATTAAGCAAGCTTGGATTCCGAGGGGGAAAGGCAAGCACTGTAATAGCAACACATCCCATTATCTGGCTGTGACCCTCCGAGACTCATTTTTAATTCCAATCATGTAAGACAAGCTTGTAAAACTTGGAACCTCGAAGGTAAGAATAAAGAAAAGGCAACATGGAGACACAGATCCTGCCTCACACGAAGGGACCGAGGTGCAATTCTTCTTCTGCTGCCCAAAAGGTACCTTTACAAGAGATGCCTAAAGTGAAACTTTCAATCTCTAGGATTTTTTTTTAAAAAAAGAAAACATATATCACATTCTAAGGATTCTACAATTGGAATTAGTTACACCCGTTCAAGTATTGTTAACTCTGCATTGGTTCGTCCAATTCGCCTTACAATTTTTTGCAAGTCAGGGCTACAATGGGGCTCAATAGCTAATATTTAAAAATGCTTTCCAACAAAGGAAAATTTTTATCCATATTAATTTATTTACAATACAAATTAGTGTAGAATTTAACTAGCTGACTAGGATTTACTAAACATAGGTTTTATCAATACCTTGATACGGACAAAGAATTTGAGTTCATTTCAGCATTGACAAATTACGAGTGTTGAATGAAAAGTAATGCCTCCACCTTCGTAACTCCTCAACAGATGGCAGTACTCGTATGTGGCAGGTACTGGCTTGTTCAGTAGAGTCTCCTCTACAGTTCCATTTTGGTGGGAAGCCTTAGCATTGAATGGTTGTGTTGTTAAAAGTGCGAAGTATGGAAACCTGCGCAGACAGCCAGTTAAGCAACGTGCAGTCACTGAATTCTTGGCAGCAAAAGGTGTCACCCCAAAGGAGATTCACCAGAGAATGCAAGATGTTTATGGTGATTGTATTGATGTGAATATTATGCGTCGTTGGGCGAGTAAGTTTAAAGATGTTGAGGTGACACCTTCTGGTGTCAAGAATTCAATGACTTCACGTTGCTTAAGTCGAATTGACCGACTGCAGGGTTTCATACTTTGCACTTTAACAACATAACCATTCAATGCTAAGGCTTCCCACCAAAATGGAACTGTAGAGGAGTGTCTACTGAACAAGCCAGTACCTGCCGTATACCAGTACTGCCATCTGTTGAGGAATTACGAAGGTGGAGGCATTACTTTTTATTCAGCCCTCGTATGAATTCCATCAAGTAGCCCTCTCTAAATGGTGTAACGTTTGAATCAGTTAGAATGATCAATGATCAATCAACCCTTCTTCTCCTATTAGTTGTCTATTCCTTTTATCACCTGTTACACTTCCATCTTGCCCTGCTTTTGGCTGGTAATGTATGAGTAATGTATATCAATCCTTTGTCTCTGTTATTTCCTGCCCTCCACTTCTTCCAACATTACAAATTATTTACTATTTGCTTTCTAGATTTCTGTGCCTTGTTAATGACAAAAGCACAAGACAACAGGACCAGGAATGGAATGTCATATGAGAAATGTGATAAGGAATGGAGTGTCTTGTGGAACCAGCAATATGATCACCAAAAAGAAGAAGATGGAAACACACAGGAAGGGAAGTATTATGAGCTCAACCCAACTATAATTCCGACTGGACATAAACCCACTGAAATTAATAATTCACCAAGCACTCAAGTACCATTTATCTGTTCCAACTGGGACTATAACCAGATGTAGGCCCAAACAATGTCAATTATTAAGAAGAAAGACGATTTATACTGAAGGGATTTCAGGAATGGCCACACACCACTGCCCATATCCTCAGCAGCCACCATAGCTGTTCAACAACTCAAATTATTTAAATATTTATCAATGACATTTTGCTTTGTCTTTCCTTCATTAAGCTCAGTGTAGTCCCCTCTTGTTCAGGCCTCAGTGAAACTAATACGTGCTGAACTTGAGAAATGTAACAAGATCACATTTCCACTCAGCATTTCCTAAATCAAGGAGTGGGAGTGTGCAGCTCCCCAGATGTAAAGGATGACAACTGCAGCCCAAAATCTGGAGGCTGACAAATTCTCCATCCCTGATGTAGGTCTTTGTGGGCCAAGACATACAGTTTAGCTGAATGACAGATGCGTTAAATTCACACATCTTTGTAGATCCATCATCCTACCTGCCCAGCCTGTATAGCCAGTGCAATCTCCGGGGTCTGCAGATTTGAGCTCCCTTTCCATCTGTTGCAGAAGCTCTCTGATCTTATTGTTCAGGTGTTGTGTGAACTCAGGAGTCAGCTGTGGGTGGGAATAGAAAAACAATTGTTACGTTTCAGATGACACACTGCGGTTTACTAAACTACAGCAAAAGAGCTTGGCAATGCATACGATGCTTTAAAATGCTCAGCACTTTCAAACGAGCGAGTTGGATCTCCTTCAGATAGCTCAAGGAAACAAAGAATTGCTTGCTCAGGAAGCACTAACCAAAAGAGGGGAAATAAATCAAAATCCCCAATCACCCTAAGACAGGACTCTAACTGATTTAAGCCTACTTTTCTTTCAATTATCTATGTTTATAAACCTAGTTTTAAATATTTAAGGCCGCATTCCCCCAAGGGTACATAGGTTACCTATACCTTCATTACCTTCAGGCTACAACACTGCTGTTTTTCTCCCCGAGGGGCCCTCAGAGGCTACTCAAGTTTTCAGTGGTACTTTCTGCTAGTTGGCTGCAGTCTGACAAAAAGGATGGAAATAGCACATTACGATGTTGCTTGACAGCCCATGCTGACTCACCAGAAATCAACCGAAGGACAAATCTACTGCAAGACCAGAGGTATCATGGGCACACCAGTGACAAGCTCAAAAGAGTGCAAATTTTGTCAGGCATGGCCCAAGGAATCAGGGCTTATCCCTGAGACAGTTTACTATGTCTAAGCATTTAGGAACATGTTTCCGTTCTTCATACTTCCAGTGTTTACTGTCACATACACTGAAGCAAAATTGTGCTGTGTGTAAAATAGTTTGGGAAATAGAAGATTACTCTACAGGACTTTTTTTTAAAAGTAGGGAAGGTTTCATATAGATGCTGAAAAGAACAAATGGTAGCCAAGAAGCCAGTTGGAGAGCTGAGCTTAACAGGAAAACATCTGCAAAAGGTGCCGAGAGGCTGGGGCATATTGCAGATGCTTGGCTTCCCTTTGGCACTGCATTTCAATTCCGATAAACACAGCTGATGCTGAAGAAGATTATTTTTGGATGGTCTAAATGCATGCACACATCTTTCCTTATTCATAGAAGAGAGAAACGTCAGAGGAAAAGTCAAAGATAAACCCAAATCACATGCAGATGGTGTAGGATGAAGGGCACCCTGTGATCTGTATTTCATTCCTCCCGTCACAGTTTGGGGAAATGGACTTTTCTGATTTTAAGATGGGGAGCAGAGATTAAGAAGCCGATTTGCCTATGAGACCAAATCAATTCTTAATTCAAGCCCTTGCATACTGCCCGTAAGATTTGTTCTTGTGTGCTTTCAAGTCATTTCTGACTCTTGACCACCCTATTATATGGTTTCCTTGGACTTTTTTTCAGACAGGGTTTGCCCTTGCCTCCCTCTGAGGATCAGAGCATGTCACCCAATGGTTTTCCATGGCTGAGTGATGATCCAAACACTGCTCTCCCACTGTCCTTGTCCAGCACCGGGACTGTGGCACAGCTGGCTGGGAGTCAGCTGCATTAACATCACTACTGACCAAAAGGTCATGAGTTCGAAGCCAGCCCGGGTTGGAGTGAGCTTCTTACCAAAATTGTGTAGCTTGTTGTCGCCTTTGCAGCTCAAAGACAGTTGCATCTGTCAAGTAGGAAATTTAGGTACCACTTATGTGGGGAGGCTAATTTAACTGATTTACAAGGCCATAAAAATCTCCAGGAAGTATGCAAAGAATGAGGAAGTACTTCATTAGTGTTACAAACAGACGGTGAAGCGACAGCTCCCTTGGTGGCCAGAAGCTGGAATGTTAAATAGCCTCTGAGTGTCTGTCTATATATGTTGTGTGTCTATGGCAGTGAATGTTTGCCATGTATATGTACATTGTAATCCGCCTTGAGTCCTCTGCAGGGTGAGAAGGGCGGAATATAAATACTGTAATAAAATAAAGAAATAAATATTCAAGCCATTACACTTTGTAGGATTGTTCTCAAGGTAGCATATTTCAAACAAAGTCCCCATGAAATTCTGTACAACTAAAATCATAATCTTACATGCTATATTATTGTGCATACACTGCTATCGCATATTTAACATATCATGGGATTTGTCCAGAATTTAGCTAGGCCTCCTACTTGGCATCTTAGGTAGTATAGGAAAATGCCTGGACATCATATCTGTTTACAAAATGTCTAAGGTGTTCTCTCTAGTCATCCAGCAGATATCAAAACAGCGAAAGCAAATGGATGACTGTGGTGGTGGAATAGGAAGGAGAAAGCATTCGTTGCATGTGGGAAAGTGCCTCTGAATTGAACTTATGTGTGGGATTTAAAGTTTATTACTATTGACACAAAACACAGTATGTCACAGCAAATGAGATCTATATGCTGGATTTCGTATCACAAAATCACAAGTCAAACACTTCCCAAGCGTCTAGGAGCTGTTGCAAGAAAATTACACAGATGGACTACAAACAACTCCATGGCCCAGATGATTCATTGGAACGTACATCACAAGTACCACCTGCCAGTAGTAAAGAATTGGTGGAATCATAAGAAAAGAAAAAAGTCTGGATTATTGATGTTGCCATACCGGGTGACAGTTGCATTGAGGAAAAACAACAGGAAAACTCAGCTGCTATCAAGACCTCAAAATCGAACTGCAAAGGATCTGGCATAAACCAGTACAGGTGGTCCCAGTGGTCATTGGCGCACTGGGTGCCGAGCCAAAAGATCTCAGCCGGCATTTGGAAACAATAAGTTTATTATTATTATTATTATTTCCTTTATTATTTCCTATATTTTCCCCTTAATACTGACATTGCCAGAATATCAAGGCAAAAATCACACATTATCTGAGTGTGGACTCAGATGACCCAATTCAAAGCAGATAATGTGGGATTTTCTGCCTTGATGTTCTGAGATATAGGGCTGTGTGGAAGGGTCCCCCACTTAAGACTAGAGGGAGCTAGTCTTAAACACTGTGATTTTGGTTATTCTAAGGTATTTTGAAATCCTTGCCTTCATAAATGCCACGTGAGGATCAGGAAGGGGTCCCATATGTTTTCTGTGTCAGCTGATACTACTAATCCCAATGGCAATGGAATTTGTCCTATTACCAAGACTTTGGTCACTTCTCTTTTGCTGAAGATAAGAAAAGGGCTTTATCTCTCTTACGCTTGGAAGGACTATTCTGGAAGCTTTATGTCTTAGGAAAACCAATAAACTTAGAAATCTACCAACTACCATAAACAAAAACAAAATGGACATATTTTAAAAATGGATTTTACTTACCTGAGTAAGAAAGAGAAACCCATGGCTATAATGTTTCCAGCTTGGTCACTGGTAAATTCAGGTTAACTATCATGAGTTGATTTGCTGTATTCACTGGAAAAACAGTTTCCTTTATCAGCATTTCATACAAGTAGCAATGCACACTGCCTTACAAACTATTAATAGTTTCAATTCCAGTAAAGCCATTTAATTAATGGGGACCTGATAAATCAACACTTACATAACTTCCATTGAATCAATGGATTTACTCAAGTTAGAACCAATGATTGGATTTAGGTGCCTAGGAAGCTACAATTGTGTGCAGCTTTCCAGTTGTACAAACTGTACGTTAACTCAGTTGACAGAATCCTGTATATGAAATGGTGTGACTGGGTGGGAGAAGGATTCTGAAGGTCCTTCCACACAGCCATATAACCCAGAACATCAAGGCAAATAATCCACAATATCTGCTTTGAACTGGATTATCTGACTCCACACTGCCATATAATCAAGTTCAATGTGGATTTTATATGGTCGTGTGGAAGGGATCATAAGCAGCATTTTTGTCTCCCGAACCAGATTGGGAACTGGATAGCAGCTGCACAGTGCTCGCCTGATTCAGTGCCAATTGCCCACAGTGTGAGAGAGGGCACTTCCAGACAGTGGCAAAATCTGGATTAAATAAATCCAGACACATGCCTGTCAGTCCCAGGAAATGATCCCACATCATTCTGACACCTTTCTTTGTAGCAGATTTTACAAATCCACAAGATGGACAAGGGACATCTGGCAGAAGTTGTTTTATTTTAAAAAAATGTCTCTGTGATGCGCTGGATCGTATATGCGCTCACGTGGATATCTCAATGTACACACAAGCAGATTTCTTATTTCTCTACTCACCAAATTATAAATTCAAGCCTTGTTTAATAACAGAAAGATCAGAACCAAGAAGTGGTTGCAGAGAGTTCTCATTGTAATTGCTTTCCATTTGTGCTTCCGTTAGCCACCTGCATGCCCATGGCTCCATTTTTGACAGCTCCGACAAACAGGTTAAGGCTTTTAAAACACGCACATATGCTGGAGCAGTCCACACCAGGGTATACGAAGGCAATCACTTGTTTTACATGACTGCAGGGATATATAGTCATGCGAATATGCACTTTTTTGGCCAGGAACAGGTTTTAAGTTCACCCTTTAAACACATGCTTTAAAAAAAACATTCCTGAATGCATGTTGAGGAAGCCTTCAAATGATCTTGGAAAATGTTTTTTTCCCCCACTTCTACTTTCTTTCCTTCTTATATTTTCCGATTCTCTTTTAATTATGAAATTAAGATAAAACGCAGAGAAATATGGTTTATGTAGATATCTAATAATTTAAACTGGAGCTGGATCTACACTGTCATATAATGCAGTCTAAATCTGCATTATGTGGTCAATGTAGACCCATATAGTGCAGTTTAATTGTACTGAACATACTATCTATATATCACGTTTTTCTTAAAACTACCGATACATGCATAAAAGATTTCGGAAGTTGCACAAGGAGCTGAAGGGGGAGAGTTTCATTTTGTGCACTCTGTTGTTGAAAGGAAGTGGGGTCCAAACCATGATATTTATCTTATTGATTCAGGACAAATTACTTTGGAAACATCCCCTTTTCCTTAGGGAAAGCTATGGTAAAGTTAGCAAACTGCACATATTTCTAAGGCAAAAGGGTACGCGTTGTCATATTCTTTTCACAAAAACGCACACTGGGTCAAAAGGTGACATCTATGGAGCAGTTCTTCAGAGGTGTGTGTTTGTTTTAGAACTGCGATAACTCTTTTTCCGCTGAAGGTTGACCCACTCATAGATTCAGATAATCTATCCTCATGATCTGCAATCATACCCAAATTCTTGCCTAATTCATTTGAGCCCCAGAAGAGGAGGGAGCCAGTCAGCTGGTAGTCATTACACAAAACCACCAATGATCATTTAAAAAAAATCAAAAGAGGCTTTTGAAAAAGAAGAGACAAACTCCCCAGCCAGGGCTCATGTTGTTGTCTATCATTACTCTTCAAATATAAAAAATCAGCACTGACTGAATCAACACTACCATATAAGGCAGTTGGGAACTCTATATTACACATGTAGACCCATATACGGTAATGCAGTTCAGTACAGTTGTTGTTCATTCGTTCAGTTGTCTCCGACTCTTCATGACCTCATGGACCAGCCCACACCAGAGCTCCCTGTCGGCCGTCACCACCCCAGCTCCTTCAAGGTCAGTCCAGTCACACAGCATTATATGGGTCTAGGTAAAGGTAAAGATTTTCCCCTGACATTAAGTCCAGTTATGTCGCACCCCCCCCCCTCCCCACAAGGAGTGATGAGAAGTGGTCAGTGATTCATTTAAGTTGTTGTAGGTTTTTTCGGGCTATACAGCAATGTCCTAGCTCGAAAAAACTTACAACAACCCAGTGATTCTGGCCATGAAAGCCTTCGACAATACAATTGGATCACAGTTGTAAGGTAAAGGTAAAGGTAGTCCCCTGACATTAAGTCCAGTCATGTCTGACTCTGGGGTGTGGTGCTCATCTCCATTTCTAAGCCGAAGAGCCAGCGTTGTCCATTGACACCTCCAAGGTCATGTGGCCGGCATGACTGCATGGAGCGCTGTTACCTTCCCGCCAGAGCGGTACCTATTGATCTACTCACATTTGCATGTTTTCGAACTGCTAGGTTGGCAGAAGCTAGGGCTGACAGCGGAAGCTCACGCCGCTCCCCGGAATCGAACCTGCGACCTTTCGATCAACAAGCTCAGCAGCTCAGTGCTTTAACCCCCTGCGCCAGTTGTAGAGGCTGTAAATACTAGGTCTCACCCTGGCACACAGACAGCAATTATTATTATTATTATTATTATTATTATTAAACTTTATCTGTACCCCGCTAGCATCTCCCGCAGGACTCGATGCGGCTTACAAAGGCCAAGGCCTCAATAATAATACAACAATACAAACCTAAACAAATTAAAATAACTAAAGCAATCTAAAACAACAAGCAATAAACAATCCATTAAGACACAATAAAACTGGGCCAGGCCAGAGTAAGGGTACAAGGGTTAAAAGTGCTGATGTGACAGGTGGAAATGGGGCTTATGGACAAGTGCAGTGTGCAGTGTGCAGCGATCTTGGCTTTAATAAAGTGCTTGTGGGACTTGGTAATGAAAAAAGGTTTCCTATTCAGGGAAGGCACATCGGAACAGCCAGGTCTTCAAGTTCTTTCTGAAGACTGCCAATGTAGGGGCCTGTCTAAGATCTTTGGGGAGGGTGTTCCAGAGTCGGGGGGCCACCACGGAAAAGGCCCTGTCTCGTGTCCCCACCAAGCGCGCCTGCGACGCAGGTGGGATCATGAGCAGGGCCTCTCCAGATGACCGAAGAGAGCGTGTGGGTTCATAGACGGAGATGCGATCACGCAGGTAGGCAGGTCCCAAACCATTCAGGGCTTTGTAGGTCAGCACCTGCACCTTAAATTGGGCTCGGTAGATAAATGGCAGCCAGTGGAGCTCCCTGAACAGGAGGGTTAACCTCTCTCTGTAGGGAGCGCCAGTCAACATCCTGGCTGCTGCTCGTTGAACCAGTTGGAATTTCTGAGCCGTTTTCAAGGGCAGCCCCACGTAGAGCGCATTACAGTAATCCATCCTAGAGGTGACCAGGGCATGGACCACTCCGGCCAGATCAGCCTTTGCGAGGTACGGCCGCAGTTGGCGCACGAGTCTTAATTGTGCGAAAGCCCTCCCAGACACCGCCGACGCCTGAGCCTCATGCGTAAGCGCAATATATTGTATAGGCACAATATATTGTACAGGAATCAAATACATTACACAGCAATCAAACACAATAGGAGGCCGCCAGTGGTGTTTTTTATGTTTTTTAGGCCCACCACCATCAGGGCTGCAAAGACTCTGTAAGGTTCAAATGGCAGGGAAGGAGATTCCACCTGAACATTAGGAAAAATGTCCTGACTGTAAGAGCTGTTCAGTAGTGGAGATCTCTGCTTGGGACTCTGGTGAAGGATCCTTCTTTGGAGGCTTCGAAACCGGGAGGCCATCTGTCGGGAGTGCTTGGACTGTGCCTGGCAGAGTGGGCTCACCTGACCAAGGGCTCCTTCTCCGGGAGCGCGGCCGCCCTCTCGCGCCGGCAGCATCCGCACGCGCAGCACCAGGCGCCCAGCCAATCACTGAGCCCCATCGAAGCAGGAAGGAAGGGGCAGAGGGGACCCTACCAGGAAGACCCTCCGCCCTTCAGCCTGGCATCCAGCTGCCTTCCCTTTCCACGCCGCGGTGAGCCAGGAGCCCGCTCGACGCATGCGCAGCGGATCCTCATCCCCGCAACGGAGTGTCTAGAACAGCTCTCGGGCGCCACCTGCTGGAGAAGGACGGCATGGCACCCTGAGACTGGGAACTATTCAAGGGTTGTCGTCACGCCCCTGAGTCCAAAGCAGGAGGATGATGCTCTGGAGGTGACGTCATCATCCTGCCACTATGTGTTTGGGGAGAGGCGTCAGGCCTGGCTCCTAAGAGGACGGATTGATTTATTGTACATAAACATTCTTTATTGTAAATTCATTAAAATAAATAACTATACCGTAGAATCAAGGTGCTGGTTTTGACCTACACTTACTTACTTAGGCAATCCCTCGCTTTCTGAGGAGGATTGTCTTCCAGTATTCTTGTGGGTCCGCATGTGGCTGTGGAGCCCTATTCTTGCTCTGCATCTTCTTCCGCAGTGAGGGCATTGGTTTCCAGGTGGAAGGCGGTCTCTGTCGGGGTTGGCTTGACATGCCTTTCTCTTGGCACGTTTCTCTCTTTCACCCTCCATTCGTGCCTCTTCAAATTCTATAGCACTGCTGGTCACAGCTGACCTCCAACTGGAGCGCTCAAGGGCCAGGGCTTCCCAGTTCTCAGTGTCTATGCCAGAGTTTTTAAGGTTGGCTTTGAGCCCATCTTTAAATCTCTTTTCCTGTCCTCCAACATTCGTTTTCCGTTCTTGAGTTAGGAATAGAGCAACTGCTTTGGGAGACGGTGGTTGGGCATCTGGACAACATGGCCAGGTCCAGCGGAGTTGATGGCGGAGGACCATCGCTTCAATGCTGGTGGTCTTTGCTTCTTCCAGCACGCTGACGTTTGTCCGCCTGTCTTCCCAAGAGATTTGCAGGATTTTCCGGAGGCAGCGCTGATGGAATTGTTCCAGGAGTTGCATGTGACGTCTGTAGACAGTCCACGTCTCAGGCATATAGCAGGGTTGGGAGGACAATAGCTTTATAAACAAGCACCTTGGTATCCCTACGGATGTCCCGGTCCTCAAACACTCTCTGCTTCATTCGGAAAAATGCTGCGCTTGCAGAGCTCAGGCGGTGTTGTATTTCGGCATCGATGTTGACTTTGGTGGAGAGGTGGCTGCCAAGGTAGCAGAAATGATCAACATTTTCTAATGTTACACCATTAAGCTGTATCGCTGGCATTGGAGAGGGCTTGGCTGGTGACTGCTGGAAAAGCACCTTGGTTTTTTCAATGTTCAATGACAAGCCGAGCTTCTCGTATGCTTCTGCAAAGGTGTTTAGAGTGGCTTGTAGATCTTCTTCTGAATGCGCACAGACGACGTTGTCATCAGCATACTGGAGTTCTATAACAGATGTTGTTGTGACCTTGGTTTTGGCTTTCAGTCTGCTGAGGTTGAATAGCTTGCCATCTGTCCGATAGATGATTTCCACTCCGGTGGGAAGCTTCCCATCAACAAGGGACCTACAAAACCCTATATGGTTCCGGTCCAGTGTATCTGTCCGAACGTATCTCCCTCTACGTCCCACCTCGGAGTCTGAGATCATCTGGGGAGGCCCTGCTATCGACCCCACCACTGTCACAAGTGAGGCTGGTGGGGACGAGGAGCAGGGCTTTCTCAGTGGTGGCCCCTCACCTGTGGAACTCACTCCCGGGGGAAATCAGGGCATCATCATCCCTCCTCGCCTTTAGGAGGAGGGTGAAGACGTGGTTATGGGACCAGGCCTTTGGGCACTCTGGCAATTAAATTAGACAATCAGCGAGTAAGACCAACAGGATTGATGAAGTGGAACATAAAACTAGATCTATGAGTTAGCAAACGCTGACCATGTAAGAGGAGAAGTTGGGTTTGTATAGGTTTTATTGATTTTATGGTTATAATGCATGAACTGTTATTAATTGCGAATTGATGTAATTTTGTGTATGATTGTTTTATGATGCAGGCATCGAATTGTGCCTTTGCCTTTGTAAGCCGCCCTGAGTCCCCTTCAGGGTGAGAAGGGGTAGAAGAACCCCAAATAAATAAAATAAATAAAATAAATTATAGAATCAAGAGTTGGAAGAGACCTCATGGGCCATCCAGTCCAACCCCCTGCCAAGAAGCAGGAATATTGCATTCAAATCACCCCTGACAGATGGCCATCCAGCCTGTTTAAAAGCTTCCAAAGAAGGAGCCTCCACCACACTCCGGGGCAGAGAGTTCCGCTGCTGAACGGCTCTCACAGTCAGGAAGTTCTTCCTCATGTTCAGATGGAATCTCCTCTCTTGTAGTTTGAAGCCATTGTTCCGCGTCCTAGTCTCCAGGGAAGCAGAAAACAAGCTTGATCCCTCCTCCCTGTGGCTTCCTCTCACATATTTATACATGCCTATCATATCTCCTCTCAGCCTTCTCTTCTTCAGGCTAAACATGCCCAGCTCCTTAAGCCGCTCCTCATAGGGCTTGTTCTCCAGACCCTTGATCATTTTAGTCGCCCTCCTCTGGACACATTCCAGCTTGTCAATATCTCTCTTGAATTGTGGTGCCCAGAATTGGACACAATATTCCAGGTGTGGTCTAACCAAAGCAGAATAGAGGGGGAGCATTACTTCCCTAGATCTAGACACTATGCTACCACACATGCAATTATTTCATGATACATAAGGACAATAATGAAATGAAAAAATACATGGATTTAGGATAATAAAATGACAAAATCAATAAAATATTTGTACTAGCCGTCCCCTGCCAAGCATTGCTGTGGCCCACATGGGGGTTCTGTGTGGGAGGTTTGGCCCAGTTCTATCATTGGTGGGGTTCAGAATGCTCTTTAACTGTAGGTGAACTATAAATCCCAGCAACTACAATGTGATGGCATGAGTGGCGCCACCTATGTATAGAACTGTTAGTTGCAAAATTTAAACTGTTGTATCATGCTTAATCCTGCCCCTTTTTACCCTGCTTATGTATAGTTGTATGGATTGGTTGCTTGTAGCTGTCAATCAGTACTGTTTGGCTCCACCTCTTCCTGCAAGAGGGGAGAACTTCCTTTTTCTTTTCATTCTGCCTTCAGAGTTCGTACCAGATGGACGTGAGTAAGAGACCTGACTCTAAAGGACCCTGATGTAAGTTACCTCTTAGCACCAGTTCTGAGGTTTTTACCCCTGGGACTCATGCTTTATGTCCAGATCGTCCTGGACAATTATTGAGGCGACCCAGGCGCCTTCAAGCCGGTTCTTTTGGCACCAAAGGAAGATCCTGAATCTTCAAAACATAGGCCATCTGAACTGGGGTTGTGGTTTGCTCCGGCATTCACAGCCATTGAGGAAAGAGGAAACTTGGTGAGGCTTCTCAGCTTCGAACCCCTTGGACCCAGGACTAATTGAGAATGTAATGTATGTTTTCCTTCACCCCTCTAAAGTTTTCCAGCTCCTTGCTTTGAAGAAATGACTTTGTGATAAATAAAACTTATTTTGAGCTATTTACAGCGTTCTGGGTTTTTGGGAGTTCCAGTTTCCTATAGGAGGGCAAGAAGCAATCCCCTGGGGGAAAGATACCACATCCATCCCTCCTTCATTAAGAATAATAGCCCCCAGGCGCGACGGCACATACAACCCCCAAATGTCAAGATTCTATTTTCCCCAAACTCCTCCAGTGTTCACATTTGGGCATATTGAGTATTCTTGTAGAGTTTGGTCCAGATCCATCATTGTTTGAGTCCACAGTGGTCTCTGAATGTGAGTGAACTACAACTCCAAAACCAAAGGACACTGCCCACCAAACCCTTCCAGTATTTTCTGTTGGTCATGGGAGAACTGTGTGCCAAGTTTGGTTCAATTCCATCGTTGGTGGGGTTCAGAATGTTCTTTGATTGTAGGTGAACTATAAATCCCAGCAACTACAACTCCCAAATGACAAAATCATTTTTTTTAGTGAAGGACACACATTGGTTTGTTAGGTGTCTTGTGTCCAAATTCATGCAGTGGTTTTTGAATTATGTTAATCCCACAAACGAACATTACCTTTTTATTTATATAGATTCAGACTAGATGTATACTGTACATTGTGTTTATATTGTGTATTTTGAAAAGGCTCATTGAGTGATCAATAAAAATAATTTTATTTACAATAATAATAATAATCCACAATACAATGATTTAAAGATTGAGATGCCAGTCAAGGTGGTCCCAGTGGGTGCAGTGCCGAAAGACCAGCAGTGCTGCAGAATTTGAATAGGCACGAATGGAGGGTGAAAGAGAGAAACGTGCCAAGAGGAAGCCGTGTCAAGCCAACCCCGACCGGGACCGCCTCCCACCTAGAAACTGATGCCCTCACTGTGGGAGAAGATGCAGATCAAGAATAGAGCTCCACAGCCACCTACGAACCCACCTCTAGGATACCGAACTTGGAGGACCATCATCCTCGGACTACGAGGGATCGCCTAAGTAAGTGCCTAAAGACCTTGGCCTGCACTTAAACACAATCGGCACTGACAAAATCACCATCTTTCAGCTGCAAAAGGCCACCCTACTCAGATCTGCACACATTATTTGTCAATGCATCACACAGTCCTAGACCAAGAGTCCTCAAACTTTTTAAACAGAGGGCCAGGTCAGAGTCCCTCAAATTGTTGGAGGGCCAGATTATAATTTGGGGAAAAAAACATGAATGAATTCCTATGCACAGTGCACATCTCTTATTTGTAGTGCAAAAAAACACTTAAAAGCCATACAATAATTAAAATGAAGAACAATTTGAACAAATATAAATTTATTACATCCCAGGTAACCTGAGAGCTATTTCAATGGGAAGTGTGGGCCTGATTTTGGCTGATGAGATAGGATTGTTGTTGTCAGAGGCAGCCCTAGGTACATTTCAATGGTAAACAAACAGTATTCCCCCTCCCCCCAACCATTGATATGGAGCAGGAACAAGAGGGGCTAGG